TACTTGAGGGCTCAATCCTCACATTCCATCCCCCTTAGCTTCGAAAGTCCGCTGAGATGCTTACTTCGCAGGTGCCTTCCCTTTTAGCTTCCGTTTATAATCTGCCACCACCCGAGGAGCTGTTTCCATCAGTTCCTCCCGGGTAAACCACCGATCCTCTTTCGGATCCGTATGATGCCTGAATCTGATCCGGTACTCCCTCTTGGGTTTAGGAGGTCTTCCTCGACCCAACGGCTTCGGAACAGGCATATCCCTGTGATCCACAATATCGTCGATGTCGACTTCATGGTTGGGGGCAGCATCGATCTCCTGGAAGGGAATTGATCAGTCTCAGCGAAAGGTGCAAGCTTTGAGGCATGAAAGACTGGGTGAGTGCGTAAGTGTCCAGGGACACGAATGACATATGTGGGACCATCCAACTCATCTCCCACTACATCCAAGACTTCCCAGGGACCAAAGTACTGAGGCATTAGTTTGCGAGATATTCCGAACTCCTGTCCTAACTCACTAGCCTTGACCCAGACACGTTCCCCTACCTGAAATGTGGACTGTCTGCGATGTTGATTCTCAGAAGCAATCATGGCTTGCTGAGCTTTCTTCATATGTTCAACAGCATCTTGCAACAACTTCTCATATTGCACACCGTATTCAAGTGTGCCTGGAGTTGCAGCGGGTCGGTTTTCAGGTAGGAGGAAGTCTAATGCTGATCTAGGCTTCCACCCTAAGTGCAGCTGGTTAGGATTAACGCCGGTATTACTATGTATAGCATTGTTGTACAAGCTGGCGATGAGAGGTAACTGCTCATCCCAGTCATCCTGGCTGGGCTTGATGTAATGCCTCAGCAAGTGCTGTACAACTCTATTCATTTGTTCGACCTGTCCGTTGGGTTCGGGATGATTCCCTGAAGTCATCTGAAGTTGACTGCCCATCTGTTCCGCAGTCTTCTTCCACAGCTCACTTGTGAATCGGACGTCTCGGTCACTAATGATGGTCTTTGGTAAACCAAAGTCCCTTACCCAGTTGTCCTTGAACAACTTGATGACATATTTCGCCCTGGCTGTCTTTGGCATTGGTATTAGTCTAGCGTACTTGGTGAATCGGTCAATGATGACGAAAATGTGCCTTTTACCACTCTTGCTGGTCACAAGAGTGTCCATGAAATCCATGGAAACACTCAATCCTGGACCATCAGGAATAGGTAAAGGCTTCAATAACCCAAGCGGTGCTCGAGTTCGCGGCTTGTCCCGCTGATAGACCTGACAGGTCTCAACATACTTCTTTACGTCATCTAACATTCTGGGCCACCAAAATCGCTGTACGAAGTTAGCACTCGTCTTCTTGTAGCCAAAGTGCCCAGTTGCGTCATGACATTCGCCTAAAAATAAACTACGCAACTGTTCACTAGATGGAACTACCAATCTCTTCACTCCGACCTTATCAAGATAGATTAGCCCATCCACCATCACAAACTCACTTTCTGTGGCCTTGTCTTTTGCCTGAAGTTTGCGGATGATGTCCATCGTGACAGGGTCTTCCTGATAGGCGCCCACCAATGATTGAGTTACTTCGTTAGATACGCCAAACTCAGAAACTAGCGCACCTAGGTAGTCTGCTCTACGGGATAGCGCGTCTGCAACCTTGTTGTACTCTCCCTTCAGGTACTCAAGCTTGAAGTCATATTGGTCTATGACCTCAATCCATCGCTTGAGTGCATCAGAAAGAGCCGGTTGAGTCTTGATCCATTTGAGGGTCTGATGATCAGTCCTCAGATAGAAGAACCTTCCCAAAAGGAAGTGTCTCCAATGGACAAGTGCCTTGTAGAGAGCATAGAGTTCCCTTTCGTAGGTGGACTTAGCCAACTTCTTCGATGACATCTTCTTACTCATGTACTCAATCGGTCTCAACTTTTTCCCATCATGTTGAGCCAGCACTGCGCCAATGCCGTATTGGCTTGCGTCAGTGGTCACTTTGAATGGCTTCTGCGGATCGGGAACCATGAGGACCTCATGATTCATGAGTGCATGCTTCAATCTCTTGAAAGCACCCTCGCACTCATCACTCCAGTCCCACGGTGTGTCAAGTCGAGTTAGATCAGTCAAAGGAGAGGCGACTATAGAATAGTTCTTTACAAAGTTCCTATAGTAGCCACACATTCCTAAGAATGATCTGACCTCAGTGACTGTCTGAGGTCGTGGCCAGTCTCGAATACTAGCCACCTTCGCATCTTCCGACCTAATTCCCTCCGCGGATACTTCAATGACCCAAGTATAATATCTTAGTGCGGCCAAACTCGCACTTCTCTAAGTTGACCTTATACTTGTGCTGTCGCAGGAGTGAGAGAACTATCTCAACATGTTGTGCGTGCTCCTCGGCAGACTTCCTAAAGATCAGAATGTCGTCTAGATAGACCACGACAAACTTATCTAAATGGTCATGGAAGATCCGATTCATAGCGTGCTGGAATGTACCCGACGCATTGCAAAGACCAAAAGGCATCACTACAAACTCATACAGACCATAACGAGTCTGAAAAGTTGTCTTGTGTTGGTCCTCAGGTCTTATCGCAATCTGGTGATATCCGGATTTCAAGTCTATCTTTGTATAGTACTTGCATCTCTGCACCCTATCCAATAGGTCATCTATGCGAGGTAGAGGCTCTGCGTTCTTCACAGTGATGGCATTGAGGCCTCTATAGGCAATGCACATCCTCAAAGTACCCCCCTTCTTCGGTACGAATAGCACGGGTGATCCGTAAGGGGAAGCACTAGGCCGAATCCATCCCTTCTCTGTCAGTTCCTTTAGTTGCTTCCGAAGTATATCTAACTCGGCAGGGGCCATCCTATAGATCCTTCCCTTTGGGGTCTTACTCCCTGGAATGATTTCTATAGCGTGGACGACTTCCCTATCAACAACTCCTGAGGGCTCCTCGAACAGATCAGGGAACTTAGCAACGACATGTTCTATCTCTGGGGGTGTTTTAACGGCCTCCCCTTTCTCAGAGACATAAACAAGGTACATACCCTCCTCTTCGTTTTGCTTGTAATAGTTGTAAAACGCTGATGCACACAAGCAGCCATAGGTATCTAGAATACTGCTGGCCCTGAACTTAGTCAATCTGACGGTTCGGCCATCGGGCAACTTATGCTTGAGCACCTTCTTATCCCAGTCGAACTGGGGTTCAACAACTTCGAGGTAGTACATGCCTAACAACATATCAAATGGCAAGTCGTCGCTAACCAAGAACGAGATCTTATGGTTAAGCTCACCTCCTCCATAGGAGAAGGTACAGACTACGTCCTTGATGTAGTCTGTTACAATCATGCGCTCCTTGTTGGCCAAAGTAGATGCTACAGGTTTACTAAGGTGCCGTACCCGGTCCTGTAGGTGCAGCCTTTCCAAATAGTCGCGACTTATGTAATTTCGTGTGGAGCCAATGTCTATGGAGGCACCACATTTGCGGCCTCCTACATCGACTTCCACCACGAAATGTTCCCCTTTAGGACCTTTCCTCAACGCCACCCAAGACTCGTGAGGGTCCTTGTTTGACCACTCACTCTCTAAGTCCTCTAAGGCTTCAAACACATCTAACGTACAGAGCATAGTTTGGTGTAGTTGTGTCTGTGGGGTGACTAAGGGGTCATTAGCCTTGGCCTTGTCATGAAGTAGGGAGGGTATCAATCCTACTTCATCTTGAGTAGAAGCAGCTACTACTTCCACTGGCCTCACGTGTTTCCCGAGCTGGAAGCCTGGGAATAAGTAGCCCCTACCTTTGGAGCAACCTTTTGCGTAACCTTAGCGTTCTGACACTTCCACTACGTGTGTCCGTATTCTCCGCAGTTGATACAAACGCCACGCATTCGGCGGTCACGCCACAAGTCTTGATCAAGACCTGCCTTTACCCACTCAGCCTGTTTGGTCTGATTGGAGGCGGCCTTCCCTTGACCCCTAGGCTGGCCTTTCCCTCGGCCTGCCGCCTTAGTTTGAGTCCCATCAGGCTCAACCATCATCAACTTCGCCCCCTTCTTCCACTCTTGAGGACTCTTCTTCTTCTTTGAGTCATTCCCTGAGGTGGGTTGAGCATTGCCTAGTGTGGCCTCTAAGTCTAAGGCTTTCCAAGACAATGTCTCAAACGAGTGGTACTCAGTGCGTGCCTCGCTGGCTAGTAAGTTCCTTATGTTCTCTGGGAGACATCTGACAAACGTAGTCAATAGGAACTGATCGCTGTAGTTGATGCCTGGAATGAGGATCAGGCTCTCGACGGTAGTCGTAAGCTCTCTAACTGACCTGAACTTGCGTTGGTCCAGTTTGTTGATGGCATCAGTGACCCTTTGCGCCTCCTATGGATTATGCCATCAAGCTTCTACCATTTCCATGAATTGGTCTAGAGTCAAAGACTTAGCCCAATCTGCCATGCGTCGCCCGTACCTGACCTTTACAACTACTCCATCTAGCCACTTGGCTGCCTTACCCTCAAGGTAGGATGCAGCAGTTACCACTTCGTCCTCAGGCAAGGTCCTCTTTGCCTTCGCCCAAACCGGGACCGTTCTCAACCATGTGTTGAGTTCCTCGTCCTTCCTCTCGCCTGAGAAGGCAAGAGGCGGTTTCATTGGGGTCTTAGGATACCATTGACCTTGCGTCTGTCCAGGTTGCTGAACAGGTTGTTGCGGTGATGTAGCTATCACCGCTGGACCCGAAGAAGAAGATGCAACAGTCTGTGCGGCTGCTGCAGACGTACCACTTGGTTGTGAACCAGCTTGAACTGGAAATGGGCCTGACATCGCCGATAACGGCAACGGCGATTGTGCTGGTGGCCTAAATCCTGGCCTTGTTAGGATGTCCAAGATCTGGTCCAAAGTGCTCTGCATGAAGTCCAACCTGCTGTCCACATGCGCATGCAACGACAGCATGTTGTTCCTCAACACTTTCATGGGCTCATTCATTCCTAAATCATCTAAGCCCTCCAAGTCAGCCTTGTCAGACTCTAACGTTTCAAGCCTGGCTGTTCTATTCTTTATCTCTTTTTCTCTATCGGTAGCCTCTTTCAGATCCTTCTCTAACTGTGCACGAATCCTTTCGACCTGTTGGAGCTCTCTCATCTCCCTTTCGCGAGGAGTCAACGGGTTGTATTGCGAGCCCGCCATTTGACTTGTAGATTGTCTAGAACCTGTTGAACTGGAAGTGCCCGTGGACCCTGTTGGCATTCCAAACTGGGGTCCAGACGAGAACGCAGCAGAAGCTGCAGCGGAGGATGCTGCTGAAGAAGTCATGGCTGCTGCCCTGGCTGCTGCTGCAGCCTGTTCCCTAGCTGCAAGGTTTGCTGCTTCTCTCGATGCTGTGAAAGCACGGGCTCTGCGTTCGGCACGAAGCCGTCTTTCTTCTCCCTCGTCTAGGGTCCTGAACACGTACGGGATCCTACTTGATCTTGCACGAGTTAATCTACCATCGTCAACTCTCTCCTCATCGACGTCTGATCCGCTCATGAGTTAGGCAGACTTTATCTGCACTAGAATCCCCTAATGGTATCCTACCGCAGCATGTGTCTGACCGGCACCTAGTTTTCTAGAAATGGTTATGTCCGGCAAGTCCCCTACTATACCGATCAAGTGGCATGTCTACAACATTCACACAGATTGTCTACATAGTCTAAATGCACTTTGACTTGTTCACTTAC